TCTTTTTGCTGCCTTTCCTCCTCTTGCACATAGTGAGAAATCAATTCATTCAAGGTCCATTTATCTTTCTGAGTATTATAACTCACCTTGAATTGTCCAAAGTGTGTAGGAAGAGAAATCAAAACTAGATGCACGAGCAAGTCATCAGATTACTCTAACTTTAGTACTTTTAGTTTTGACGCGAGATTAGACATTTTCATAATGTACTCCCTTATGTTTCCTTTACCTTTGTATATCATAGAGATAAGTTTAGCAAGCAAACTGCTTGCATCAGCTTTCTTATTACTGGTGAAATACTGCTCAACGGCATCAAGGAAACCTTTAGCATTGTGGCTCTCAGAAATAGAGCCCCGAAAAACTTCTGGAACAGATCGCTTCATGATCATCAAACACATTCGGTTTGAGTGTTCCCACTTTTCAACCTTATCCTCATTCGGGTTTTCTGGATTTGGAGTGGGTTTCTCATCTCGAAGTGCAAGATCAAGATCCATGCAGCCAAGAATTATCTCAACTGCTTCCTTCCAGGCCTTAAAGTTTGTCCCATTAAGCATGGGTATACAATTAATTTGAGCAGATAAGTTAACAACACTAGCAACAGTGACTGTAATAGAACATAGAAAATTTTTTTAATTTAATTACATGCTCAAAGTAAAATAAAATAAATAAAACATGCAGATTATTTACATAATAGACCCATTACAAGATACCGAGTACAACATTAATTCTTTGTCTTTAGACATACAAATCAACTTGTTAGTGGTACTCTCAATGCAACGATCAAATATTGACAATTAATTCTGTCAAATAATAGTCTTTCTTTGGACCGACTATTATTCACATGATTGTAACTTTATAATTATCACATATTTATCATCACAGACATATTATTATTTGGCCAAATTATGTCTTCCTTTGGGATGAGCACAAATTACATAAATAATCTCATACTAACATCTATTATAATTTTTAATCAAATTAATTTCTATAATAAGGATTGCTCTGACAATATATTACATCAATTTTTAATCAAGTCTACCTTATTCTGAAGGATTATTATGTGCTGTAGATGCATAATTTCTACAGCTGCCAATGAAAGTTGCCCATAACCACAAACTTGAGCATTTAGTTGCTGTGGAAATTATGCGTCTACAGCACATCATAATCCTTCAGAATAAGGTAGACTTGATTCAAGAAAATGTGGCAATCAATCAGCATGAAGCAATTTCAAAGTTTATACAAGGAACTGTTGCTGATGGTGCACCAGTAGTGCCTATTTCAGCACAGTTGAAGTATAATATTGATGTTGTGTGTGAGTATATTGTGAAGAAGATTCCAATTCCTGAAAGGAACTTTATTTCTCCACCTAATATGATAGTAATTCGGTCATTTGATGTCAATAAGCCTGGTTTTGAGGTTGATGAGATAAAAGGAGGTGTGCTGGTGGAAGCATCCTCAACATGCCTGTGGAATTTTTTATGCATATTGTCTTGTCTTTAGTGTGATTGTGCTTGCATTGGGAAATTTCAACCTCATTGCAACACCTTCTGGACCCATTGCCACTACGGACCAATTTTTAAAATTGACACTCCTTCAACAACTTTGTGTTTTTTGTTTTTAAAACATGAATCAGTCATGCCATAATTACTTTCCTTCTACTCAGACCAATATATTTATGTTTTTTTTATTTTAATATTTTTATTTTTATTTTTTTACTCTTCGCTACAAATGTTTCATCATTTATCATTTTTCTCGAGTTATTTTTTATAACGTCATAACACTTATCAATGAATATGTCCTCTCGTGTTAAAGTTTCATATAACCATGATTCAAAATCCTTATGAGAGAAGAAAATAAAATATATAAAAAAATTCATAAGTTAACAATAGCTATATGAATAACTCACTTTACACAATTATTCCTCATTCTCTTTACTTTATATATTTGAATTAATTATACATGTTTTTATTATCTGTTAATATCATTTTCCATTTCTTATTATTATTATTACCAATCTTACTATTACTATCCGTGTTAATTTCATTATTGTTGTTATCATGCCTCTTAATATTATTATTAGTTCAATATTACTGTAGTGGTCTCAAACTTTAAATAATAATTCGGCCAAACCTAATATTTTTTATTAAGTATTGGAAGTGCGTGTTTGAAAACGCATTAAAAACATAAAAATTATCGTAATTCATCCTAAACAAAATGTGAAAGTTATAGTTATTAACTTCTGATCTAAGCTAAAAAAATCGTGTTAATAACGTGGAAACAAACACAACCTAAAGCTAGCCCACCTTGTTTCATATGGACTTATGTTTTATCATAAAAAAATTGAATTTAAAAGTAGGTTAAATCTAACATAATCTACCAAACTCGCTAAAATGAATTTAGTCCGATGATTCGATTAACACTTTAATCCATATAGTGTATGTTTGCACGTCAACGTCCGTATATATAACAAAATATTATTTAATTCAATTTTTATTTATTATATTATTTATGAATTAAATTTTAATATTTTTAAAATAAAATTATCTATAAATGAAATAGTATTATTCTACAATAAAAATTATTTTTCATAAATTCAAATTTTAATTTATAATTTACATGTTTAAAATTATTTTATGATGTAAATTTTAAATATAATTTATAAATTTAAACATAATATTATTTATATTTAATTTATTATA